GGGGGGGGGGGGGGGGTCATGTTTTGGATCCTTTTGTTGCTCTGGGTATAGTACTGATAGTATCCATGTAAAACCCTAACATACTATTTCAGGCCCGCAGGAGAGCAGCTTATAGCAAGCAATCCCCAGTACTAAGCCCCCAGCATGTCCAGGAGTTTAGCCGGACGACGCTCTAGCAGTGCCCGAACCTGAATATAAGCAAGGTTTCTGGGTTGCTGTTAAGGAACTCGAGTTAAGATATTATGTTACTATGATAAGGAGACTACATACCCATAATATGGTAATCAAATTAAGTTCCTTCACATCAACCCCACTTTGTTGGCTTGTGCTGGGTTCAGTCAGGGGCATGTTCAGGTGGGTAGTTACCGCGTAAATACCCTGGCACAAGGGCTTACATAATCCTTTTCCTGGACACTAGGAAGATGCAAGGGCTATGGATGCGTATTTCCGGAAAACCACCCGCCTGAAATTTCCTCGATTTACATAGGATTTGGGATGTCGGGCTTCTGCAGGCTTACGTTCCAAAACCCCTGATGGGGAGAATACTTCTGCAAGGAACCCTCAGCACAGGACCGCTCATGTTTGGAACTCTCCCAAGCATGAACTGCACCAATTCCCAGGGATTCAAGGAGCGCCTCCATCACCCTACAGTCAGAGTAGTCTAGAGCAGTTCACTCCTCGTTGTACGCACCTCAACGCATCAGCGCAGGAAGACACTTGAAAGCTCTATCAGAACTTAACCACGGACTCCGCTGATCATGGGTTTCAGCAAAACTGAGCCTCTGAATCTCGCAAATTTCCGTCGCAAGAACTCAAACATTGCCGAATCAACACTGCCCTGAATGTAGTTGCTGTGCTACTCCGTGTAGCCTCCAACAGCACAAGATGAGCAGTGTGGAAGCTGCGAATGCCTCTTTGAAGGTGAGCTCCGTATCGCGGATGCTTCGCTTCTGAGTTCTCCAGCGCCAGTACCTTTTTGCTTGTTCGTCAATACGCATTAGGTGATCTTTGGGGACGACACTGCATAGATGCTGGCTTTACATGCTGCAGCTTATTGCTACAGCGAAACTGCCACAAGTCTTGCCAGAGAATGCCCGAAACAAAAGAACCCCAAGTTCGCGAGGCTCTACAAAACTCTAAACGTGCCAAATGCCCTATCATTCTTTTCATGTTTCTGAAAAGCCCCTCCCTCGATCTTACCTCCCTGTATTCCCCCCCTTGAACCCAAGTCCCACAATCCGCATGGAAGCTGTATGTATTCCCAACCCCAACACTAGCCAACACTGGTAAATAGTACAGACTCAATCTTCTTCAATTCTCAGGCTGCCAGTGGAAGAAGGCCGCGCTGTAGACCATGCAGGTGGTGTCGAACACACCCTCGCAGCTCTGGCGTTGAGGTTTAATCAGGGTTCAGGGCTTTAGCTTTCTTGGGGAAGTCAGCTTGGTTTACTAATAGAGCTTCACAAAAACTGGATGGCGCTTTCCCCAACCAGCGCTTGCACTGCCCCTGTGCCTCTAACAAGCTGGATACTTTTTGGGAGCAACCTCAACGACAGGTTCATACATGGCAAAAAGGCAATAATCCTTCGTCCTGGCATTACAGGAAACGGCCAATACTTCTGGGTATGGAGGGTGTTCTGGCAAGCAGGTCATGCTTCATCTATTCTATGTTGCTGTCAAGGCTTGCTGCGTGTGGCATATTCCGCAGAGATGGTCATTGCTTTTGCCGGCTTTTGGGTATGCATGAAAACCGCAGCAGCTCTGCCCGCCCACTCCCCTCCCAGCTCCGGGCCCGCGAACCATTGCAGAGCTTGGACAGCCGTCCTTCGAGGAGACACTCGACCACCATCCTCATCTGCTGAAAGCCAACAGCGAAACCAAGAAGACTCCCCTCACCATCTGCAGCCCTGCAAATGGAAGACATCGCTCAAATCATGAACTTGTGGCGCGGTCCAAGAGGCTTTGTGATGTTTATGGACACGCAGGCGAGCGGGAAATTGTGCTGCGCATCTTGCGCGAGCAGGTAGGCAGACTTCATGAGGTCGAAGTGATGCGAAAAGAAATAGAACATTTGCATGACGTTCAGGACACCACCGGAACGATTCAAATCCTTACCGGAACTTCAGCACACAGCAAATGCTGGGGGCAGAAACATGCACACACTCTCGTACGCTCTAGGACGGAGCTTCAATTTGCACCAGCGAAGATGCCCGAACCCAAAACACCCAAATCTACGCCAAGGATCGGTTCGAGGATCTCCGCTTTGAAATCCAAGGAGTTCCCAGTGCCTGCCGATCGATGGGCAGACCTTGTTCCTCGACAACTTGCCATACATCGTCCGCAGCATTCGGTGATGTATGATGTCGTTGAAATCCTTGTGTTCAGTTCAAGCTGTGCAAGAATGAAGCATGCCATGCTTGGATAGGTTCCCCTGCCTTCAGCAAGTGTACCAAAATGCACCAAAAATTCGAGCCAGGCATCAAAGTGCGTGACCTTCAGGAACAGGACTAGATCCTTGTCCGCCCAGAACCTGTGCAGTTCTTCTGTGCCGCGATCTTCTAGAGAGAAAAGGGCAAGGCGAAATCCACGGCTGTTTCAACAAATTCTATGGCTATGCTCCTGATTTGGGAGCTCCCGCGGCGTATCCTCTTGCCATGTGCTAATTTCCCAGAATAAAGGAACCCCAATATAGACCCCAAAGTACTATCATCCGCATTATGCGGATCCCCACAGTGGTACCCCCAATTTATTGGGAAACCCCCATCTCCCAGCCCTAAACCCTGTAACCCTATGACCCTATAAACCCAAAGCCTAAACCCTACAAACCCTATAAACTCCAAACCCTAAACCCTATAAACCCTGAACCCTACAACTATCTCTTGCCAAGACTCCGTCGGTCCAGGCCGGGTACTTCAGAAAGAGGCCTTCGCCTCTTCATGAAGCAGCCGCAGGCGCCGAGATCATCCTGCCCCCCCAACTTTAGGGTTTTGGGTTTAGGCTTTAGGGTTTATACGGTTTAGGGTTTATAGGGTTTATAGGGTTTATAGGGTTTATAGGGTTTATAGGGTTTATAGGGTTTATAGGGTTTATAGGGCTTATAGGGTTTATATGGTTTAGGGTTTAGTGTTTCTACGGTTTGATGTTTAGGGTGTATAGGGATAATGCACCATGGGAGGTTCACCGCGAAATAGATGAAGGCAGGTGTATATACATACACACTTATGTGTATATACATATGTATATACATCTATACATATATATATATATACATATACACATATATATATATATGTGTATTACATGTTTTCTTTATTTTCGCAGGTGCTGGGAAACATGCATACTTGTTCGCTTGGCTTGCGGTGGCTCAGACATGAATGTCGTTTCGCTGGAGTTCAGGAATGAATACTAAGGCTAATAATAATACAAATAATAATAATAATAACAATAATAAGAAAACAATAACAATAATAGCTTCGACACCGTTTCTCAGGAGTCTTAGATGGATTGTTTCGGACTCTCTGATTTTACATATCAGATGCTGACTGACTGTGCACAGCGCCCTACGTGTCATTCTCAACTACCACATTACATGATGAATCCCTTCAACGCAACTGGCCGTACAAGTTCAATGACCGGCATAAGCTGGAGCGCTATGTAAAGACACGGTTCCGCATTATCTGTGTTCAGGTTCTTTCACTCGAGAACCATCACTTTGTCACCCAGAAAGAATGGTTTCAAGAGCAATCCTCGATCATATCTTCTCGCATCTGCCGCAGAGCAGCAGGATCTATCTCCAGCTGGAGTAACCTCGTATGAGGTGCTCATCCGTCACGGTGCCAGGGTGGGGGGATGATGGAGATCCCTCTTAGGGAAGGAACGAGTAGGGGCTAGTCTGAGACATTTCATGACCAACTTTCCTCTAAAGCCGCTTTAGTGATTCTAGAGCCGCAAGCAGCAGCTACCGCATTGCTCCACGATTTGGCTTGCTGATAAAGTCTATTCTGTCATTTGTGCCGAGGGCCTAGAACAACAGCATCACAATCACATGAGCATACAGCACCGGATAGCAGCCGGCTTCATGGGAAAGGGGTGAAAGTAGGAGGAAACTGCACAGGAGCGGAACCGGCATGGGCAACATGTTGGCATCAGCGACAGCAGCAGCAGCAGCAGCAGCAGCACGCCAGCTCAGGACAGTTGTCTCAGGCCCTTTGCTATGCTTTCTTGAAATCACGGATCAAGCTGGGCAGCCACTGCGTGAAGTCTTTGTAGCCGAGAGGTTGGCTCAGGACATCCTGTGCGCATTTCAGCCTCTGAAAGCTTCCCTAAAAACAAACTTCCTTGCTCTACACCTCAGCCTTGGGGTTACACGTTCGGAAACATGATGCAAAATCTGTTTGGGTGGTCTCGAGAAACTTCAGAGAAAGGAGTGCGGTCCTGTGAGACGGCCACGACGCCTTTGGACTCGCGTGCGTTTGCTATGAGCTCATCGGTTCGACGGGCGATCTCGTCCCACTCCTTGTCCAGACTAACATCCTGCACAGGTCGATGATTGTTTCTGCCCCAGACAGCAGAATGGCTTACCAGTTCTTAGTAGGGAATAAGGGAATGCATTATATAAGGAAGTACTTAATAGGAAATAAGGGAATACATTATATAAGGAATTATGTAGGGATCATGTTCCCATATTCCCTACTAACCAACAAAGTCTGGGCAGTCCTCCTCTTCAGCCTCCCTGTTGCATGTGGAGCCGTTCCCAGGAGAGTTGTTCTGTGGAACAGGCTCCCTGCATCATGCGCAGTAGTAGACATGGAAACCAAGGTTTGGAAAGTTACTCCAGCAGCGGCTCTCCAGAGTCAAGTTTCGGATCCAGTTCTGCCTATGGGCTCATGCAAGTGCATAATACCAGCCCAAACAAGAAGCTCACCGCGGCAACATCTTGCGGTGCGTAAGTGCTGGAAGCGACCTTTCGCCCTCATCAGATGGCAATCCGCAAGTTGAAGCTAATAGGCCAACAGTTACGCGAGTCGAACTTTGTGCCAGCGAATGTCAACCTACCTCTTACCGCGCAAGCCAGGCTTGACCCGTTGGCTCCTCCTCTCTGTGCTCTCCTGCATAAGGTTCGCCAGCTTGGAAACCTCATCTTATCTCATCTTCGATTTTGGGAAGAGGACTTAGCATCAGATCAGAGCACGCTGGAACCAAGACATTCCTCTATAGACTAGACCCTGAAACTTGATATGTCATGCCATGCACTGAACAAGCAAGACACAGCTGGCACAGCAAGATTCCGCGCGGAGGAGGCCGGAGGCGCTGCGGCTGGTGTGGCAGCTGCGGCCTGCAGCATGAACAAGCGTTGAGAGAGCGCTCACCTGCTGCTGTTGTACTCCTCCAAAACTGCTATTGCTACTGCTGCTGCTGCTGCTGCTACTGCTACTGCTGCTACTGCTGCTGCTACTTCTGCTGCTGCCTGCTGCTGCTGCCTGCTTTTGCTGCTGCTGCTGACCGCTGGGCGCCCAATGGGACCACGACCACCACCGCCGCCGCCGCCGATACTTGCTGTCACTGTGGTGTCAGTGGTGGCGGCGCGGCGGTGTCAATGGCACTGGCAACGGCAGTGACACCAATAGCAACAGGGGAGTTTGCTGTCATCGACTGGGCAATGCCCCGAGGAGTTTATGTTGCAGTGCTAGTGGCCGCAATGACGATGGTGGTTGCGCTGATGATTATTATGTTATGTTCATCATCCTTGACCACTTACATATTTGGAATCCCTGTTGGGTTTGGGATCTAGGGTGTGGGTGTTGGAGGGTAGGGATTTAGGCTTTAGGGACTAAAGCTCGAAGAGCTTACAACCTCCTCCCTTGTAGACAGCTCCAGTTCAAGAATAAATCTAATTGACAAATTGGGATCTTAGGAGACACGGTCTCCTCAAGGGAGACCTCTGAATACTGTAGATCTGTAGACAACATAACTAGTAGAGCTTGGCAATCACACGTTTCCAGGTCGAACACCTCCATAATTTGCAAGCCAACCCCAAACCCCGCACTCGCCACAACAACCGCAAGCCATTGAAACCACAGAGCCCAGCGAGCTCCCGAAAGTCGGCCATAGAAATGTGTCGTCCCTTTGTTTTGGGTTCAGTTCTTCAGAATGCCTCAGGCCGAACTACCCCATTCGTCAGTGTGCTTACAGACCTGAAACAGCATCGCCTCTGAATCTCTCCAAAACACAACCCAAAACCCCAAAACCCTCCCTGAAACTCCATAATCCCACCCGTGAGGCCTGGCTGCGGCTCAGCGGCCCCGCTGGTTCAGAGGCCTCGGCTCTTATGCAATTGGTCAGTTGTGCTATTCGCCCTTTTCTTTTCACGTGGCGAAATGTAACTAATTAACCGATATTGCTAGCGTCTTTTTAATCGTTCGCTCTTAGTACTGTTATTCGTCCACCTTCTGCCCCGCGGAAAGTGCTGTTGTGATTCTTTGGCGCTCTCTGTAGCGTTGCTGTTCCGGCGGGGGATGCCTAAAACACTCCTTGTGTTGGTCAATGTTGGTCATTCGGCACCTTGACACGCAAGATGCGTGTGGAAAAGGGTTGCTCCGCTGTCAGTTCAAGGAGCCACAATCCTTTGACTGCTGGCAGCTGCAGCATCAGCTGCCACTCGCGGCTTCGGAGCCTTGGCAACAAAGCAAGGCGCATATTGAGTGAGGAAAAGCACAAGTTGCATTGGAAAGATTATCCCTTCCCCTGTGTGAGCTTGCGGCAGGCTCGGGCACAGGTTCCACAACCCGTTGCGCCGGTGTCGGCGCCTGCGAGCGGAGCAGATAGATCGATGAAGGGTCTGGCATCAGAGGCTGCATGGCCGTAGCTGTGACAGTGAAGAGGCATAGTCTTCAAATGGGACATGGTGACAAGGAACCGCTGACGCATCAGCGCCGTCCTCGTGAATTGGGCCGAGGATGTCTGCAAACATCTCGTCGATGGCACTCTCTCCAGGAGAAGGTTCCTGGTTGGTACATGTTAGTCCTATTAGGGTTTACGGTTTAGGATAAGTGGACCTCGAAGAAAAGAAAGTGACTCCAGAGTTCCAATGAAATCGCCTTAGGGAATCCAGGACTTAGGTCATCAACAAACACAGGGGGCCCTTAGTTTTAGTCTCAAGGGGACTCTACTTTCTCCTGGCCATTAGAGGAGGCTGATACGGCGCCACGAAACTCGGAAGTCTTGAGACCAAGTGATAAGAACGCGTCACAGGAACCTGCCTTGTGGCGGGTTTCAACTTCTTCTTAGGCGTCGTTATCAGAACATTTAAGGTGCCGCGCAGTCTGATGATTCACCTTTCTACCCGAATGTACAAAAGCGCCCCACGCTCTCCTGGTCTCGACTGGCCCTTGGCGCCGGCGATACCTGGGAGGTCTCCAAATTCTCAACAAAACTAGCGTAACCCTTCCGATCTCTGCAAACAAACCCTGATCAGGACCATCTACACATGGCTGAACCTTCTCAACTCTGCTAACCATAACCTTGGACACGGACCTCCAATCCCCCTCTGCAATCCCTGGATCTTTGAGGATACCCCAGGAAAGATGGCACATAGGCCAGCATAGGACCCCAGGAGGCCCTGAATTTTTTCAGTCCCCACCTGAGGCTCCCATGGTTGAGGCGCCGAAGCTGAAAAAGTGCCCACAGCGAAGGTGACCTGAAAAAAGCAGTCTGCCCTGAAGTAGTTCTACTGTACGATCACGTTTACTAGTATCAGTCATTATAACGTAGGAGGACCCCCCACCCTGTAATAGTGACTATAACGGATAATAGGGATTACATTAGGGTCCTATTATATCCCTATTCTACCACTATTACAGGGAGGGGGGTCCTCCTAAGTTATAACTAGTGCAGTAGAAGTAGTACAGGCAGACCTGGCAGTGGCAGTGCACTGAAGCCGGCTGTCACGGTGGTGACAATACCAATAGCAGTGATACTGATAAGCGCAACACTACTAGTCAAACGATTATTTTCAAGTACTTTCCTATCCTTCTGACATATAGAGGACCTCGTGGTGGGGTGTGCATATATTCTATGTATTATATGTGTGTGTGTATGTATGTATGTATGTATGTATGTACGTATGTATGTATGTATGTATGCATGCATGCATGCATGTATGTATATATATATATATGCACGCACGTGCATTCTCAACTCTAGGGCAAGAAAGGGGCCATCAGGCAACATAGGTTCAAGCCAATAACGTGTTCTTCTTCTGGCCGGTTGTGACATTCACGTCAAGCCATTGCAAACAATGCCTGACACCTTGAATTAAATCAATGATTTTGGCAATCCTGTTGCTGCAAGCTATCGACATGCAGCTGCACATGCAGCACCAGTTGCGGTTTTTTGACCTAATTGGTAGCCCACAGAAATCAGCCAAAGCATGATGCAGCGAGCGCTGCCAAAATTGATTGGTGCGGTGCACAGGACGGATCCCTCTTTTGATGCCGTCCGCCGCATCGTGTCGCCGCAGATCCGTTGCCGAAGAACGCCGAAACCATTAGCCTTTGCTCGGGACGTGGATCGTACTGTCCGCGTCGAACGCTTGACGATAAACAACGTCCCAAAGGTGTGGGTGGTTAAAATTGCGTGGTGCACCGCATAGGACGGACCCCTCTTGTTGATGCAGTGCGACACATCTCGTCGCCGCGAATCCATCGCCGAAACCACTGTCGGGACATAGCCCGCCCTCAAAGAACGAAGAAGGCGTTGGTACAGATGGCGACCTGTACCCGGCACGGCAGCCCGACAAATGAAGTAGCCGTCGCTTCCATCTTTGCTGCGGCAGCCTCGTGCACCGATGTGAAGGCAAGCCCCATCAATGAGGAGGAGGCTGTCGAAAGGCCACCGCCGCCTGCTGCATTTCAGCTGTCCACACCGCCACCTCCGTCTGCAGGCAACACAACGGCGATGGTAGCTGCCGAAGACGGCAACAACGAAGTTGGGGTAGTCGCTATGACTGAGCAAACAGTGAAGGGAAGCAGCAACAGTCAACGGCGCCAAGCTGCAGATTTCGGTGGTACATCGCACACATATTCATCCGCACATGCCTGCATGTGCTACGCCCCGTTTTCTGCTGCCACCATCACAACTTTCCCCTCGTCATCATCCGAAACATCATACCAATCAACGAAGGAGAAACTGCTCATACCAGTATGACTAAGAAAATGACAATGGCCGTACTAACATGTACCAACTATTCAACAACGGCGCAAGATTGCACACAACCCCAGGGAGCAAGCCTCAGCGGTTCGGCTGCCTCGGCTTGGCGTGGCCTCCATTTCCAACTCAATGGGTCCTTCCTCCTCAAGGAGTCTTGCTCAGGCTTCGGTGCCTACATTATCATACTGGCGTCGCGCTTCCCAGGGTTGTTTCTGTTGAACGACCTGAATAATGAGACCGAGCTTTTGCTGGTGCTTCTGCATGTCTTCCAGATACACTATGCAGATACGTAGCCTTTGAACGCGCGTCAGATCATAGATGCAAGCCGCCCTTTCACAGACCCAATCCCTTGTTCTATGGGAGACAGGACACTGGCCCCTACCCAATAGCTCGGGTGCAAGAGCTCGTGAAGATCTCACCCCGTCGCTAGGAAGATGGCCAGTCCTCTGGTTCAAGGATCTCCCCGGCTTCGTCAGGTGATCTCGGGAGCGCTTCGGGGCTTGGCTGCAGGCTTCGGCCAGAATCCTCCAGTGTGGCGGCATGGGCAACTGCCATCTCCGCCACTGCTTCTGCTCCAGCCTGCCACCCAGGCGCTGACATTGCTTCTACGCTTTAAACTTCACACGGCACCGCTTCTTACGCATGCCTCCTCCTGTTGTTTCTTCTACTTGGTCCTTGTGTTCTACTGCAGAAGCTCCCAGGCCTTTGGCTGGGGCTGGGAGGAGGCTTCCGCCGGGCCCTGGGGCTCGAAGGCAGCGCGGGCAGACGCCTGAAGGCGAGGTTTAAGGATAGCAGTCTTCGGGATCTGAGGGAGGACTCCAGGCTTAGCCCAGGAGTCTGGCTGCCTATATAACCCTACATAATCCTGTATAACCCTACATAATCCTATATAGCCTTATAAAACCCCGTAGAAAAAGCTCGCCCGGCCTGCTGCGGCGAATCTGACTCTGAGCTGACTTCCACCTCAGAGGCCTCATCAGAGGAGCTTCAAACAGAAGCGGCGGGGTGGCAGTGGGTAATGGTATATAGTCCCCGCTTAAGTAGATAGAATATGGGTATTATACTATGTGGCATGGACCTTTGTGTTCTATTTGGCGAAGAGTTTGTTTAACCTAAAATCCTTAAGAAAACACTTACTTCAAAGCGAGCGGCCTTGCACGCAGCATATCGTCCAAGGCATACAACGGCCCTTCACTACCCATGTAATGTTCCATAGCGAAGACAAAATATTAAAGTTTTCTGCTTGCTTTGGTAGCGTGTTTTTTGAGATTGCTTAATCCAAAAACTGCGGCAAATGCAGCTTGCCAGTACACAGCATGCACTTGCAAACCGCCAACGACATGTGCTGGGAACACGCATGCAGCAATATTTTTTCCGTTCCCGGCACAAGGTCTCACCCACGTGGCAGCTGCAGCTGGCCTGCGGATGTAAAAATAGTTTTCGATAGGGGTGGATTTTTTAGCGTTGCCTCTTAGCCTTTCCCGTTGACTCCATATCGACATCGAGCATGCAGGATACCTGCACATGTAAACTAAACATTAATTTTGTGAAGTATGGATTTTTTCATTTTGCCTCTACGCCACCGCCCGCCTTCTACTCCATCTCGACATCGAGCATACAGGATACCTGCAGATGTAAACATTAATTTTGTGAGGTATGGATTTTTTCATTTTGCCTTTACGGCATTGCCCGACAAGTTGACCATCCAGGCCTGATAAACAGAAAATTAAAATGTATCAAACACTGGGTCCGGGCGGTTTTGTCCAGGTCGGCTGTATCAATACATCTCGTCCACCTGCAATAAAAAACAGATAATAGTGCGGTGAAAGAAAGACTAAAAGAGCAAGCCGCTTCTTCTGCTTGATAACGGCTTCCTTAGCACGAGTAAAAACTCGAAAGCTAAGGAAAAAAGACTCTGAGCCGAGCACTGCCTGGATTTCCGTGCTCGCGCCCTTCCCCTGCAGAATTATAATTCTAGTAAGAATACATTAATTTCCTTTAAAAAAAAAAAGATGCCTTCAAGATCGTCAACAAAGCCCTGACCTGAGTGCAAACTTTACTGCTGAGTTCAAAATTTGATGCTTCTGAGTAAGCGAGTAATTAAGGCAGGAACGTTATGTCTTAGCAAGGACTTTCGCTCAGCCGTCATAGCATCGCGTGACCTGATATATAAGCGGTAACTGCTTTTAACTTTTTTTTGTTGCCATTGGGTGCAAGGCTCTTTCATCCCGGCTAGCACCCACTGCGGTGGCGCGTACTCTGGCTGTTGCGGCCTTATGTGTTTATGCAGCAAGTACGAAGACTCAACTTTTTTTTTTACCTGCACAGTATAAAATGTAAGTTCAAAACTAATGATGCATAAACACTAAGGTCTGCGCTTGAGCGCGCGAGCAGTCACGGGCTCGGCTTGAGTCTCCTGACAGAAATTTAGTAAGAATTAAACTTGTTTAAAACAAATGTTAAGGCTTCGGCACTCTCAGCACTGTCGTAGCAGCCGTCGGGTCCGCTGTCCTAACAGATATTGAAAATTCTTACTTAGACTTGTTCAGACAAATATTAAGGGTTCGGCAGCAACCGCACCAGCCGCGGAGTCCACTTCAGCTTCCTGACAACAGTTGTGACTTTTTACGTAAATTTGTTTAACACAAATGTTAAGGCTTCGGCACTCTCAGCACTGTCGTACCAGCCGTCGGGTCCGCTGTCCTAACAGATATTGAAAATTCTTACTTAGACTTGTTAAGACAAATATTAAGGGTTCGGCAGCAACCGCACCAGCCGCGGAGTCCACTTCAGCTTCCTGACAAAAATTGTGACTTTTTCGGTAAATTTGTTTAACACAACTGTTAAGGCTTCGGCACGCGCAGACCGGCCGTACCAGGTCACCTGTACATGTGCCAAGTACATACTCCTTAGTTGAAACAGTGTTAAGGGTTCGGCAAGAGTCACGGAGTCAGCTTCCGTCTCCTGACAACAATTGAAAATCCTTAATTAAACTTGTTTAAAACAAATGTTAAGGCTGCGGCACTTGCAGCAAGGCCGTGCCACGAGTCGGGTCCGCTGTCCTCACAGATATTTGGAAGTCTTACTTATACTTGTTTAAGACAACAATTAAGGT